GGAGTTGAAGTCCACTCATCTTAAAGTGGCCAAGTTTGGACAACACTGCTCTAGAGCATTCTGATTGGGACGGGTGTTGTTTTCATAGCCGGTTGTGCAAAATTGCTGTTGTGATGCTATATTTAACAGTGTACAAACCACAGAAATTATTCTTAGTTACTCAGTTCACCGCTCTCCCTCCCTGACCTGAGTTTTGCAGTGATGCTGACTGGTACAGGAATCGGGCTGCACTGTCTGATATCAACAGATCTCCTGGGAACATCTCAAGTCCAGGCAAACTCACCACCACTGAGCTATGCCTGCGGACAGCTGACCTGCATAGTTTATAAGGAAAACACACACACAGTGTTTAATTACTTCCAAGAAAGTTGTTATTAAAGAAATGAGAAAATGCAATCCTTGACTTTATTTTTTACCCAAAGGTCCCAACATTCATAGTCTGAAACAAACAACCTTGTACAATAGTGTATAGAATATGACCCAATCAGCTTGGCAAGGTGGCTGACCCAAATGAGTCTTTACAGGGAAAATAATGTTTGTCAAGCAATTTCAGCTTAGCCATCATGTAGCAGCCATGTCATCTCAGTTTTGAGAGTTAAAGCCCTAATACATCTAGGAGGTTGACCTATATAGATTTTTGCCTCATATTTTACCAAAACAGAGATTAACTTTTTTTTTTTACAGGTACCATTAATACAGATGCATTATACATGCATTTTGCAAGTTTAAATGGTAGCTCATCCATAACGGTTTTGTTCCTACTGTTGTGCAGTCTTCTGGCATGCTAAGAAACAATGGCTTATGACAATGAACTGTGCCAATGCAGTTTTTATTTTCTGGTTATCTTGAGATATACCTAAAAGAACCATCTAGCTAATTAATGAATCAACTTGGATACAATATTGACACCTTCCTTATGTACTTGAATGCAAAGATTTGCTTACATGTATCCTACCACTTTTAGGCTTTTGTGCTGTGTCTAAAAATTTGACTTATTTTACTATTGCAAGAACGAACACATGAATAATGACCTAAGGAGCTACTTCATGAAAAGAATTTTAGAACTCAGTTAATTGGCCGATTGCCAGTACTGTTCAGGAAAAACAAGTATGTGTTATACTTAACTTTAGCCATGTGAAATCTCACAATCCGGGGTTTTAATGGTGTTTTAAACTTATAAACAGGTTATGATATACTCAAAATGGAGAGCCTGTGTAACATGTTTTATTATAGTTTTCCCTCCTAGGTTTTACCAGCAATCACTGGATGAATCAAAAGGTTTGATAAATCTATCACAAAAGGATTAATGTGGTCATTTTGGTTTGCATATTTTAATTTATTCCTGCACAGAATCTGAAACTTTTCTCCTGCCCATTGATTACATGGGTATGATTCTGCCTAATTCTGTCCTGCAGGGTTAGGGCAAGGAATTAGCCCCCCAAATCAGAATAGCCAATTAATGCTTCTTTCCTGCTCAAATTCAAGGCTGGTTTCACTCAAAGAAGCCAAGCTATGCCTACCGTTGAGGAAAAAAGATCCCACAAATATTTATCTCCCTCCTTGAAAGTAACAATAAACAATAATAAACAAACAAACAAACCCTAAACAGTTTGCTGCCTTGTCATAACATACAGAATCTGCTGCTTGTGACAGGAGCCTCACTTCCTAATGGGATGAGCCTGGTTGTAACATATTTTTTTATCCAAAAAAGCTATAAAATTGAACAACATTGTCTACATGTAACAAAAGAGGGAAGGGAGGGGGGATTATGATGTTCTATTGCTAAAAGCAAGGAATAGCTCTTAGCAATGTAAGCTGAATTGGTAATCTTATTTTTCAAGACAGTACACTTGCAAGCATCAAATAACTGAACAACTGTTGATCTACTTTGAAATATCTATTTGTTCTTCTACCATTAACAGATAGAATAAAGGGGATATGGACCATTACTCTAATCAGTGATGGCTTAATATTCATTAAAATCATCTTACACTTTAGGAATCATCCTATGTTTGATGCATATGTAACAACGTGGACTTTGTTTAATGCCTTTAATAGCTATAGCATTCTTCCTCAATATAGACCATATGCCTGGGGATTAAGGGATCTGAAATCCAACACATCCAAAAGGCAATAGGTTGGAAAAAGGTGGTCTGAACTGTACATGTATTTTCAATTTGGTAATTCAAGCATTTAAAAAAAAAAACTTGGATAAAGATATATCACATTAGTCTTCGCTGCACTGGGATGTTTCAACTCTGTTAGCAATTTCAAGCAGTTGTGCAGCTGCTTCTAACAATAAAAAATGGAGAGAAAGACAAATAGGGCTGGGCATGTCTGAACTGATATGCAAACCGTGAAGTACCTGTTGTTAACAAGGGCAAGTTCAAACAACTCAGTAGTGGAACATTTAAAAATGTCACCACCTATATTTAAACAGAACTGATTTTGCTAGACACAGTGAATATGTCACTCTGACTTCTTAACACAAAATAATATGGAAATACTATGTTGATTCTAAAAGAGTAAGATTAAGTATATACGCACCTACTAGATGTATGTAAATCCAAGGCCTGAGGAAACAAGGCATTGCATGTTAGTCCTTATAAACAATGGCTGCACTTCACATGAAAAATGGAACTTCAGAAATAAAATGGAATGTTGATTGTATTCACCTAAGGCAGGGTTGTCCAAACTTGGCCACTTTAAGATGAGTGGACTTCAACTCCCAGAATTCCCCAGCCAACACTGACCTAAGGCCTAAGAATCAGGCCAGAAACATATCCAGTCCAGCATTCTGTGTCAGACAGTAGCCAACTAGCTGGATTCAAGAAGCTCACAAGCATGCTGGATCACAGCCTTTTTCTGCTGTTGTGCTCAAGCAACACTATACTCTAATGAAGGGAAAAACCTGCAAGGTGGCATTTGGCCAGTTGAGGGGCTTTAGAAAATAGAGTAAATGCTTCTCTGCCAATGTGATGGTACATCCACAACTAGAGAAAAATTCTATCCATTCATATATGTATGGAAAGTGTGGTGGGCATTAACCTTCCCACCGTCAGCAAGGATAATGAGTTTTTTAAGGGAATATAAGGGCCACAGCTTGTATCTCAGAATATATCAGCACTGTGGATAGCATAATAATTTCTCTTTCATTGGAATCAATGGGAGAAGATAATTCCAGGCAACTTTGACAGAGAAGTAGCATAGCTGAGGAAACAGATAATGCTATCACAAAATCCTGTTCTTGCCATAATCATAGGACTGTTCAGCTCATGAGTGTTTCGTGATGGAATCAAAACTTACCTATAACTTTTTTCCCCTGAGTTTTAGATGGCATTTGAAACCTTTGGGATTCTGGCTGTTTAATAAACCATAAGACAGATGTTTGATTGAATTTATAAATCCTTCCTGCTTCTGAACAACTATGTCAGAACACATATATGACATTCTAAATTCCTAGATTCTTGGAAATGTTTATTTTGACAATCCACTTAAGTAAATTTTTTTGGATTTAAAAACAAATTAATTTTGGTCAATTCTAATGGTCCTCTACTGCTTAACACCTGAATGGAGCCCATGACCATTTAGACTCTACTGCCAACTCCCAGCATTCCTTGACATTGGCCATGATGGTTGAGGCTGTTAGGGATCAGTACCATCTTAACTGTTTCAATCATATAATGTAAATTATTTGATTCAAATAATAGCCTTTCAGCCAAAATTAATGATTCCAGGCTTAATCATTAATTTAAGCTGTGCAAACTTAATTGGAAAATGACTAGATAAGGATGTCCCATTTGGTGCCCTTCAGCTGTAATAATCATGCTAAGTGGAGGAGACGGAGGATGTATTTCAACATATTTGTGGGACATCAGGTTGAGAAAGCCTGGAATAGGTTGTCAAACAGTGTTAAATCCCTTAAATTCCTTTTAAATCTAAGAGTAAAATGACATGATTTATTATACGAGACTCTCAGCTGAACAATTCTAATGTATGCCAAACCAAAAAAGAAAAAAAAAAGTTTGTTTCTTATATTACTTACCTGGATATCCTTTCCTTCATATATTAGAGAAGGGCTGTTCTCTCTACTGTTCTGTGCTGTTTGAGTATCACTGAAATCATCTTTATGATCCAGAAGATTCACTGTGGGGTTAACTGCTATAGAGTGTTCTATTTGTGTCACTGAATTTGAGTAAATGCCAGAGGATGATGGGGGAGAACAGGGCTGAGGGTATGAAGGACGTTTTGGATGAATAGAAAGAAAAATATCTACTTGTGGCACCTGGTTGCCTGTTCTTGTGTTCTCAGTACCATCCTGGAGTGGAGATATTTGAGAAACTGATGATGTATTCTTTCTTAGTCTCCTCAATGTTGGAGAAGTAGAAATCCTTCCTGGAGCATGCCTATCGAACAGATATGGGGGGTTGTCAGCACCATTGTGCTCCACTGTTGGAACATTCAGTAGATGTAACCTACCAATCAAGCCCCGCCTCCTGGTGAGGCTATCAGGGCCCAATGTTAAGCCTGTGTTGGTTGGGGCTGACATTTCACAAGAAGAGGACACAGTATTTCCCAAGTCACTCTTTTCTATTAAATCCACATTTTCTTTCCAAAGTTCAGTCTCCTTAAGTATATGGCACTGTTCATTCGTATTAGTTATTTCATCCATGTCCAGAGAAGATCCACTGTCCATGTTTTGCATTCTGTATCATAGAGCATAAATCTATAGTCATAGGATAGAAATAAGAGTAATGCTTTCAACCGCACAATTGACGTAAGGTATTTTAAAACTGTACATTTTCATCTATTTTCAAAATGTTGGATGCTGCGTAATAATTTTTCATGAAGAACTCTTAACAATGGTTGTTATCTTTAGTTCTGGATGAGATAATGCATGATTCCCTCTGTGGCAAACTCGTTCATAACTTAGGGTTCCTGCTTTGTGATTATTATATACATAAAAATGGAAAGACTCTGAAATACCCACAATGGTGGAATGGCTGGTGAAGATGACAGAATGAGCAGAGAGAATTGACTTGTCTGATTAGAGCAGTGATTCTCAACCTTACCCACTTTAACATGCATGGACTTCAACTCCCAGAATTCCATGGCTGGCTGGGGAATTCTGGAGGTGAAGTCCACACTTCTTAAAGCTGCCAAGGTTGAGAAACACCGGATTAGAGAAAGGACAATAGCCACATTTATTAGTGACTGGAAATCCTTTATGGATTTTTTGCTGAACAAAGAAAAAAAAATGAACTTGAGATTTATGGGTTTGATGATTAGAAAGGGTAGACTATGGAAAGAAGGAAATTATGTGGTGACTTTAGAGAGAGGGAGTAAAATATAAATGTACTTGTAACTGCTGTTAAGAAGATCAGAAGCCACTTCTTCCTAACTTTTTTCTTTTCTTCCCTTTCTTCTCTATTTCTTTCTTTGCACTTTTTTTCATTTACTTATTACTTTTCTTTACTTTCTTTACTTTTTTCTTTCAAAATTTGCATTGTTTTTATTCTCTTAAAAATGTCTTTAATAAAATTATAGGTAAACAAAAATAACTTGGAGTTCCTAACTGAATCTTGGCTGACAGCTGTAGCAAAGACACCCTTGTAAAATTTCATCTGCAGGAACAGTTGTGACCTTTCCTGGAGTGGGAGACCCTCCCATCCCTGCCTCATGCTTTGGTTACCTCTTGTTTGGACTATTGCAATGCACTCTACAGAGTTGCACTTGAAAACCTCTCTGAAGCTACAACTGGTCCAGAACGCAGCAGCTAGAATAGCAATGGGTGTTTCATGATCACCCATGTAACGCCACTACTTGAAGAGCTGCACTGGTAACCAGCTGCTTTTGGTGCTGGTTGTCACTTCTAAAGCTATTCATGGCTCAGTTTTTCCTTTTAAAGACTTACAAAATCAGGTGAACTTGGGATATAGTTGTAATTACAGATTCTTTGTTTTTTTTCTTTATGTGTTTACTAAGGTATTTTCCCCCCTTTATCTTTGGTGATTGTTCATTTTATGTACGTCTGTTTGAAAATGCATTAATAAAAACTATTCAAATTTTATAAAAAATGGCTCAGGACCTGAGTATCTTCAGGACCACCTTCCCCCAACTGTTTCTGCCTGTCCAGATCAGGTAGGCCTTTTCAATCAAAGTGCCCCTTCTTTGGAACAGCATTCTCTCCCCACCCCTCTAAATCTGTTGGACTCCTACCCTGCTGGATTTTAGAAAGGCTAATAAAACTGGCTTTTTCTGCAGACCCTAGGGGTATAGAGATGTGGTGAACTGTGACTTCTTGTAATTGGAGGTAGTTTGAAATGGATTTATTTTACTGATATCTGGCATGAAAATGTGAGGTATAGTAGAATGTTGTATAATTATTGATATTTGTATAATTTTTAATCTTATTTTCAAAAATAGAGTATATAAACCACTCAGAGATGGTATCTATTGGAGTAGAATATAAACCCAGCAAATAAATAAGCAAATAAACAAATTAATAAAGCAATTATTTTTATTGTCTACTGCGAAGTTACTCTCCAGAAATCAATGTAGAGCAGCATTTTATGAAAATTAATATTACAAGTTATTTTAAAAAAAATTCACACACCTGTTCATGTTTCTTGGGGAGTTGTTGTTAATAGACTACCCCAAAGCAATATCTTCCTAAGCTCCTCATTCACAAATATTTTTAATGGAATATTTCTAAATATCTACCAGTGGGGAGGCAATCTTTGACCATAGGACCCTGTTAAATATGTCTTGAGGAGTATGGGCTTCCATCAGTGATGGAAAGTGGGTGGGGCAAAGGAACACATACATAAAGTTGTGATTTTTCAATTTTATAATGCCTTTGGGGAAGGAAGTAGGCTTTTATTTTTATTTATTTTTAACTGTGTTAACTATGTCCTGCATTAAAATGGTGCGAAAGCATGCAGCTATTTTTGATCACCATTTTTGTGAAATTTGTCAGTATGATTCCTGCCACTGAAAAGAAGCTTTGGGATTTCCAGCCCAGCCCTTGACTTCTGGACTGCTGCTGTGTTACTCCAGTAACATTTTATAGATTATTTATATAGATTATCCACCCTGCGTGAATGATGCAGCTTGGATTGTTTCAATTTACTGAATGCAAACCACAGCTCACAGTCCCATAAATAGTAATTTCTACTCCTTAAAACAAAACACTGGAGGGTTTTTTTCCCCTCTTCTACAAGTTTCTTGCACTTCCGCAAACCTATGAGTATGGGAACCTTGTTTGATACATAACATGTAATACAGTTTTGGCTGTGTTATGGCTGGCCCTTGGAAAACATATCATTTGTATATGTTTTATACAAGCACCAGAGAATACTATGTTCTTAGAATCACACTGCACATTACCTTAAGGTATTTTGATTTCACTGTCTTTCAAAAGCTACTTTAAAACTAAACATGAAGGAAACATGCACCCTTAATTAACTTTTTTCTGTAAGTAATAGCACAAGGTAAAATTTCTATAAAGGATAATCTGACGATTCTTTAGCTCATTACTTACCGTTTAAAACAGCAGATGCACAGCTATTTCAAACAGTTGGCTTCTCCTGCAGAAAAAAAATATATTACAAGAAATTTTCTTCAAAGACTGCCTGAATCCTCCAGTAGTTTCACTACCTTTTAGTTCAGTTGAATTTAATGTAGTTACCTGAGATGTAACTGTAGTGTTTTGTTGTTTGGCTTCTCTAGCCTTCTTTCTGAAAGCAAGAATAAAAAACTTGTTCGTCCTCTTTGTTTCCAAGGGATTTTTTTTTATCACAACAGTGAAAAGGGAAGTGGTAACAAGCTAGTTTGCAGAAGGTAACATGATCTACTTCAGTACATAACTCATTATCTTTGCCCTATAGACATGCTCGTTTAATTCCTCTGCTTCCCAGTTTCTTATTTTTCCCATCTGTTTTGAGATGTCTGCCTAGAGAATAAGTAGACGAAAAAAGATCAAGAAACATTGCTAGGGTAGATTTGATAGACAGTGTGCTGTTCCTCTGTGAATAAATGTACAGTTTGAACAGTTTGATCTGTCTTCTACCATGTTTTCTTGCTGCCTTATAGCACCAAGATACTCATACATCCCTTTTCACTACCCTCTTGGTCAGAGCAATCCTACCTGATCAGAAAACTTTGATATCACAGCCTTTGGAAATGCAATGCCCATTTAAGTGGGATCTGACCAATGTAGAATATACAGGAAAGATGACTTCTTAAGAGACATCTTGACACTAAACTTCTGTTGTTGCAGCCAAGGATGGCATTTGCTTGTTTTGCAGTTGCCTCACATCATTAGCTCAAGTTCAATTTATCAACCACCAAGACAATCAATCCTTTTTGCATGTGCTGCTGCCCAATATGTACTCCTCCATCCAATTCTCATGTTTTTGTTTCCCAAACCAGGATTTTGAATGTGTCTTTGTTGAACTTCATCTTGTTAATTTCTTTCTATTATTCTAGCTTGCTAAGCTCCTCCTCATATGGTCATACTGTTCTCTAAGGCAGGGTTCCTCAACCTCAGCAACTTTAAGATGGCTGGACTTCAACTCCCAGAATTCCCCAGCCAGCCATACTGGGAGTTGAAGTCCAGCCATCTTAAAGTAGCTAAGGTTGAGGAACCCTGCTCTAAGGTGTTTTCTATCTCCACTCTCTTAGTGTCATCTGCAAATTTGATGCTCATACTTTGTAACCCTTTATCCAAGTCATTGATGAATATGTTGAAAAGTCCATGGCTAGAATGGAGCCCTGTAGAATGTCACTTGGCACTTTTTTCCAGTTGATGCAGAGCCACTGATATATACTCATTGAGTATAATGCTTCAAGTAGCTCACATTTTGCCATCTTCTGTACTAGGATCCCACTGGAAGCTTTGTAAAATGTCCAGTACATTTCTGTGGTCAACTAAATACTTCCTAAAAAACTAAATGCCTATATGTTGGAGGCTTGAATGAATAATAAAAATTGTTCCACCCACCTCCTTTGGCTTCCAATGTTAGTTTGTTATATGAAAGATGGTGGAATATATTGAAATTGGGTATGAATAGGAAGCCCATATTCAGTACAGTTTTAATGTTTGGAAGCATTTTATTTTATTTTTCCTAATGATGGAATTGCTATGATAGAGGTTATTACTATCAATAATCCATTTTTATTGATGAATTTAATTAATTCATCAGTACATTATGGACATTGCAATTGTTCAGATACACTACATTAATTTTCGCTCATTTAATATACCTGAGCGGCTGCAGTATGCAAATGGCAGGGAGATTCTGCAATCAGGGACTTTAGCATTCATTCACACATATACAAAGTTAGAAGGTAAGGTCCAGATGCCACTCCGTAACTCAACTTTAGATATCTCTGGGAGGGAGCTGAACCTTGAAAAATGCTAGCAACTATCACATTTTAAATAAAATATAAAAAAGCAGCCTGACTACACAAGGATAGTGAATTTCTGAGAGAAGTATAAAAATAGGATAAGGGCTCATAAATGGCCTTGTGATAATGCGTGCCTTTAGCCTGCTCGTGGCACAGCCATGCAAGCTTCTTTGCTTAAGGCCTCTTATAAATACAAACTAACTTTATGCCTCTTTCATATTAGCTTTAAAATGTCTGGGCTGTTCCTGAAAACCATCTGAAGAAGCAAGCCCATAGCATTTTGAG